AGACGGGATGCCAAGAGAGGAATTGGACCGAGATGGGTCTTCCTAATAAGGATGATGCTGTTAGCATTCAAGACAAGGACGTCTTCCTCGCGGGTTATCCGAACTACAGCAAACTTCTTCACAAGTATCAGAGGCACTGGATCCCCTATTTCATGTTCCATACGATACTGATGCAAGACGTGCGAGCGTTCTTCACGTCTCTGCTGGTTAAGTACGGAAGGGACTCGACGTTGATCGGGATCCACGTTCGCCGCACGGACCAACTCCGATGGGCATTCACTACAACTTGGCTTCACTGGAGTGTGGGTCATCTGACCTTCCTGTAAGTGTGCGATGACCATGCAAACTTGCTCCTTCCAAATATTTCAAAATTTATTTTTATTATTTTGTCCGAAAGATTGGCAAAAAGAATCTCCTCCTATGCCAATTGTCCATTTTCTTCATCTTTCCTTCACTTCGTTTTTCGTGCCTGTTTGGAGAATTGTGACGAATCGTCAGTGATGTCTTTTTCGAAATGCAACATTTGGATAATTAAAATATTTTAATAACATACCTTACCATATAATTTTTTAATTATATATAATTACTAAACGCCCCCTGATATACCAGCTTTTTTTAATATACATCTTTTTTGGCCAAAAAGCATAATGTAATCGCTGCATTCGCGCGAAACAACCATTTTAAAAGGTTGCTGTGGACCCTTGACAGGTGCACGCAGATAAAGAATTCAGTTCCTGGAACAAATGCAAATTCTTCCGCCTGGAATTTGTCATTGCTGACCTCCTTAAATTCGATTTTTTTTAAGTAAATATTTTCTGACGGCGTTTACGGCGGAGTTTAAGGCGCAGCGAACACAAATGGCTAAATTCTTGTACCAGTGTCCATTGGATCCCGAACCGTTGTCACAGGATTACAAATGAAATTGAGGGAAAGGTAGAATATTTTTGCGACATCGGACAGCAATGTTAATCATTTCATTCTCATGGCACATTTTTTTTTTTTTAGTTCGACCAGAGGTCTTGAACCGTCTTGGAGCTCATATAATGCAAAAGAGCAGTGTCAGCCGCAAGGACTGTCCGCTTTTCGTATTGAGCAGAGCATGCATGGTGCTCTCATTCATCGTGTCTATTTGTTTCGATGAAACAAGCTTTTTCCAATGAATGGTATTCGATAGCTCGTATGCAAAAGCATTCTGTATTTGACCCGTGCGGGGAAAAAAATTTAAGGAGCGGTGATGCATATAAGGAGCATGTCAGAATCACGGAGAATCAGCGTCAGCGTAATTTGCATCTCTACAACGCCTGCCGCTACGTCAGTACCGCCTAAAGCCATAGAGTATGGGAAGGGTTGAAGGAAGGGTTGAAGGAAGGGGGGGAGGAGGGGGGGAAGGAGGGGGGCTGGTGTTGGGGGAGACAATCCTGTCCGGAGAGGGCAGTGATCGGAGTGCGTGCGTGCAAGGGATTCCCTCATTGGTTCACGAAGCCGAAGCCGCTCGCTATTTCCTTCCTCACCCGTTCATATAATACATGGAGGCAATTTTCCTGTTACTGGCTTTCAGGCGTTTCAGGGATTGGAACTCGGTTCGCCGAGAGAATCCAGACTCTGAGGCGTGCCAATCGCGTGAATGCAACGTTTCTCCCGTGAGCAGAACTCTCGAAGAGAATCAGCTGACCCCCAACAACATGGGGGAGTTTGCACGATGGCCCCGCCTTTTCCCGACCCCCCAGCAAACACCTTATTTGGGTTTCGGAAGAGAATCTGCAGATTGCGCCAAACATTTACGTCTCTTAAAGGCCCCCGTTGAACCCAATGCCACGTACTTGCATGTACCACGCCAATCAGTGTCAATTTTCAATATACAAAACATCGAAAGCCGCACTGCAATGCACGTGGGATAAGGAGGGGGAAGGGGAAGGGCTGGAAACGAAGAGAACAATTATACGTGCGTGATAGCCTGCGGCGTCGCCGATGCGTCCCATCCTTCATCCCTTCCACGTGACAAACGTCAGTTTGCTCGAATTGCAAGTTTCGGAACCGACTCAGTGCAATTATTTATGGGCCAAATGATACGCGTCGCCGAACAGTTCGAGGTTCTGCATCGAGCCCCATTTCCTCCTAAGAGGGCGATATGCCAAATGCATTCTGGAGTCTCTTACAAATCGACATTTTTATATTTCAGCGTTCTAACTGAGAGGTTTCTCCTTCTTCGTTGAATACTATTGCTGTAATACTATTGCTGTAACAATTGCTGTAAAATGTAATAAAACAGGGAAATACAACTTTTAAAATATTTAATATTAAAAAGAATATAGCATTTAATCTACGCATTTATCGAATATGCAGGAAGTTGCTTCAATCAAGGAAATCAGGAATCAGGATCAGAAGGATCAGGGATGGGCCTTTGAATCGGTCGCGTTGACAACGCCAGTTTTCCTGGTGCAATTCCCTTCACCGTCTCGACGAGCGAGGCAGAATGCGCTGTATCTTCAGGAAAAAATCGTCCAGGGAGGGACGCGAGAAAGCAGCGATTGCTGAATCGGACCCTGAAAGCGCGGCTGTCTTCGACTGAGTCCGAAAGGAATCCCGGATCTGGCCGGAATTCCCATTGATCGCAGAGCAGTGCCGAAACGTGACGTTCGTTACCGGATCTTCCCTTACCCCAGGCCGTACGAGAAGACACCAGCGTCTTCTCGTACGACTTGGAGTAAGGAAAAATCCCCGTGCTCAGCGGCACCCTGTTGGAGAGCCTCCTCCCGCTCTTCCCCCATCTCAACCTGAGGAGGGCGAGCGAGACGGGATGTCAAGAGAGGAATTGGACCGAGATGGGCCTTCCTAATAAGGATTAAGCTGTTAGCATTCAAGACAAGGACGTCTTCCTCGCGGGTTATCCGAACTACAGCAAACTTCTTCACAAGTATCAGAGGCACTGGATCCCCCATTTCATGTTCCATACGATACTGATGCAAGACGAGCGAGCATTCTTCTCGTCTCTGTCGGTTAAGTATGGAAGGGACTCGACGTTGATCGGGATCCACGTTCTCCGCACGGACCAACTCCGATGGGCATTCATTACCACTTGGCTTCACTGGAGTGTGGGTCATCTGACCTTCCAGCAAGTGTGCGATGACCATGCAAACTTGCTCCTTCCAAATATTTCAATTTTTATTTTTACTCTTTTGCCCGAAGGATTGGCAAAAAGAATCTCCTATGCCAATTGTCCATTTTCTTCATCTTTCCTTCACTTCGTTTTTCGTGCTTGTTTGGAGAATTGTGACGAATCATCTGTGATGTCTTATTCGAAATGCAACATTTGAATAATTAAAATATTTTCATTATATTAGCATATAATTTTTTAATTTATATATAATTACTAAATGCGAAAGCCCCCTGATATACCAGCTTTTTTAATATATGTTTTTTTGGCCAAGAAGCATCCTGTAATCGCTGCATTCGCGCGAAACAAACATTTTAAAAGGTTGCTGTGAACCCTTGACAGGTGCACGCAGGGAAAGAATTCAGTTCATGGAACAAATGCAAATTCTTCCTCCTGGAATTTTTCATTGCTGACCTCCTTAAGTTCGATTTTTTTTTAAGTAAATATTTTCTGACGGCGTTTGCGGCGGAGTTTGAGGCGCAGCGAACACAAATGGCTAAATTCTTGTACCAGTGTCCATTGGATCCCGAACCGTTGTCACAGGATTACAAATCAAATCGAGGGAAAGGTAGAATATTTTTGCGACATCGGACAGCAATGTTAATCATTTCATTCTTATGGCACATTATAAAGGTGTCATCCGCTGAGGCGATGATTTTTTTTTTTTTAGTTCGACCAGAGGTCTTGAACCGTCTCGGAGCTCATGTAATGCAAAAGAGCAGTGTCAGCCGCAAGGATTGTCCGCTTTTCGTATTGGGCAGAGCATGCATGGTGCTCTCATTCATCGTGTCAATTTGTTTCGATGAAACAAGCTTTTTCCAATGAATGGTATTCGATTGCGCGAATGCAAAAGCATTCTGTATTTGACCCATGCGGGGGAAAAAAAATTAAGGAGCGGTGATGCATGTAAGGAGCATGTCAGAATCACGGAGAATCATCGTCAGCGTAATTTGCATCTCTACAAGGCACACCGTCACGTCAGTACCGCCTGAAACCATAGAGTATGGGAAGGGTTGAAGGAAGGGGGGAAGGGGGGAAGGAGGGGGGAGGGGGGAGAGGAGGGGGGAGACAATCCGGTCTACCTCTGTCCGGAGAGGGCAGTGATCGGAGTGCGTGCGTGCGAGGGATTCCCTCATTCGTTCGCGAAGCCGAAGCCGCTCGGTATTTCCTTCCTCACCCGCTCATATAATACGCGAAGGCAATTTTCCTGTTACTGGCTTTCATGCGTTTCAGGGATTCAAACTCGGTTCACCGAGAGAATCGAGAATCCGAGGCGTGCCAGTTGCGTGAGTGCAACGTTTCTCCAGTGGGCAGAACGCTCGAAGAGAATCAGCTGACCCCAACAACACGGGGGAAGTTTACGCGATGGCCTCGCCTTTTCCCGACCCCCAAGCAAACGCCTTTATTTGGGTTTCGGAAGACAATCTGCAGATTGCGCCAAACATTTACGTCTCTTAAAGGCCCCCATTGAACCCAATGCCACGTACTTGCATGTACCACGCCGATCAGTGTCAACTCTCAGTATACAAAACATCGAAAGCCGCACTGCAATGCACGTGGGATAAGGAGGGGGAAGGGGAAGGGCTGGAAACGAAGAGAACAATTATACGTGCGTGATAACCTGCGGCGTCGCCGATGCGTCCCATCCTTTATACAAAACATCGAAAGCCGCACTGCAATGCACGTGGGATAAGGAGGGGGAAGGGGAAGGGCTGGAAACGAAGAGAACAATTATACGTGCGTGATAACCTGCGGCGTCGCCGATGCGTTCCATCCTTGCTCGCTCCCTTCCTTCCCTTCTTCTTCACCTCGGGGGAGAGACTCGCCCGACTCGAGGCAAAGCTCAGTCGTGCCTCCTGCGAGGCGGAGGATGCACCTAGGCTGATGAGCTCGGCGCTCAAGTGATGATGTGAGAAGCTTGTTGGAAGCCTGGAGCTGTAGAGACATGAAGGCGTCAGGGAAGGTCGGAGAAGCGAATGGGTGCGTCTTTCCTCATTCTTTTCGCTCCCGTGCTTTCAAATTCCTGGTACAATACTAATTTTTTAAATACAAATCATACATATACATATTTGTATTCTTACCGGTATGTTGTCGATCGCTTCCCCCGGTGCAAATTAGAACCTTAAATTCAAATGTTTCTTACCGTTTAGAGAGGCCCTCTATCGCTGTTTCCGATCGGCATATCGTGCTCAAATCTCGTCTAGTCTTGGAAGGAAAATCGACAGGGTTAACATCGAACTCACTTTAACATGAAAGTCTTCAGTGAAGGAAGAGACTCCACTATTCCGAGTAATGCGTAACGAGGGGAGAGGGGGACTCTCATTGTTTCTGAGATTAACGAATTCTAGCTAGAACAAAGGGCGGCCATGCCTGGCACGTACTCAACATTGAATAATTCCACGACTCAAATCCGATCCGGACGAACGGAACGCCTCGATCGCGGCCAATCGTAGTCGGCGATCCCAGAGCCTGGATCGACAGGGACAAGGCAATCGCCGAGTCTGGGAAGAGAAAGCGACCGTTCCCGACCTCGTGGCAATGAACCCGACGAGGAGAGAAGGACATTCATGCCCTTGAGCATCTCGCGAGTCTCGGAGACGCAAACCTTGACACGAAAAAAAACATCGAGCCGTTCCACGCTCACAGTCTGCCGGAAGAACCTTGAATAAAAGCAATGCCGTGCGGTTCGCATGGAATATTCACGAGTCGGCCGAACGTGCAACCCATAATAGCTACGGGATTTTTCGTGCAGGTCGCTTGAGGACTTCACCCGTGATCCCATGAGACCCAGAGAAACGACCGGAATGTCCATTCGGCCCTCAAAAGACACACTTGCGGCTTCGATGGTCAGAGGGGAGCCGCGGTCCTTAAGAATCACTAATCACCTCTCAGGTGAGGGGGGCCCTCACCTGAGACGTGGTGACTTTCCTTGAAAATCAGGGTTGCCGACTTCCTCTCGTTGAATCGGGTCCCAACGGATCCGCTGACTGAACGGTCCATCTGACAACACTGAAGCGCGTCATGAACATCAATCAAATCTTTCGTCCTCAACTAAATGTGCCTTTTGCTGCCGAATAGACTATATTTGAATACTCCAAGTTAAGAGAAGTATCGAGAAACTCGGGCGGAGACCCCCCCCCCCCCCCCCCCCCCTCACCGGCCGCCCACGTGCGATCCACGTGGTCCCTTCCCTCCCTTCCCTCGAGGCATCCTGCCCGTCTGGAGGATGAAGGCCGACGCCGAGTTTAAATGCCCGAGTCATTCTGAAATCTCTCTCGCCTGAAGCGAGGGGTGATTTTCGCTTTCTTACATCAGCTGTTTTTTTTTTTTGTTTCTGAGTGGCTTGGCCGGATGTGATGCAGGCGAGGCTCTCATTCGGGCAGGGATTGGAAAATGGAGAGAATCTTCAGCTGAAAAAAAAAGTTTGTAATTATTTCCAACCGAATTCCTACAATAATAGAACATGAGAATAATTTTATTTAAAAAAAATATAATAATGATAATTGAACATAATAACAGGACACGTAGAGGACAGTCTCATTACGTTATCCCCGCACTCAGAACTTGCAATCGGAAATATTTTCAAATTCTTCTGGACGAGATGTAACATCAGTTCAATATCCGGAACTAGCTTGGGAAATTTAACCATTTCCTATGCCGTGTGATTTTATTTTATTTTACTTTTCAAAAGAAATTATTTGTTGGTGTCACGAAGTTATGACAACCGTGTCAAAGTTTGCTCAACGATAATTTGAGAAATTCCACTTTCATCTGAACCCATCCAGTAGAAGGTGGAGATGTTGAGAGAAAAATCATCTCATCCCTTAGGAATATTCTCCGAAAATGCAAGACACGAAATCACTTCATTTTGTGAATCCAACGCGGCAAAACTATTGTTACGGCACCACAAGGTCGTTGTGGGGTTCGGGTGGAAATAAGATGAACAGAACTCTCACAGAACGCAATATAATATATATTTTCTGGTCCTTAGCAACACACTCTAAAGTTAATTTACAATAAGTTTTGGGCCTTCGTCAGAGGAGGAGGAGGGGCGGAGAGCGGGGCGGCGGTCGTCCGGGTTTCAAGCTTTCAGAAATATGATACGTGCAATGTAATAAAACTGGGAAATAAAACTATTTGAGGGGGGGGGGGGAATTTTTATAATAAAAAGAAAACAAAATTAATACCTTGCATTTATCTGATTTGCAGGAAGTTGCTTCGATCAAGAAAAGTCTACTACGTCTTTGCCTTGGTCGCGGTGACGACGCTGGTTTTCCTGGTGCAATCCCCTTCACCGTCTCGATGGTCGAGGCAGAACGCGCTGTATCTTCAGGCGAAACTCGTCAAGAGAGACGCGAGGGAGCTGCGATTGATGAACCGGACCCTGAACGCGTGGCTGTCCTCGACGCAGTCCGAAAGGAATCCCCGGCTCTGGCCGGAATTTCCGTTGACCGCGGAGCAGTGCAGAAACGCGACGTTCGTGACGGCGACGAACCGCGGACGATTGGGCAACACGATCGGGGAGTACGCCAGCGTGTTCGCGTACGGCCTGGAGTACGGGAAGATCCCCGTGCTCAGCGGCACCCTGTTGGAGAGCCTCCTCCTGCTCTTCCCCCATCTCAACCTGAGGAGGGTGAACGAGACGGGATGTCAAGAGAGGAATTGGACCGAGATGGGCCTTCCTAATAAGGATTAAGCTGTTAGCATTCAAGACAAGGATGTCTTCCTCGCGGGTTATCCGAATTATAGCAAGCTCTATCACAAGTTTCGGAGGCACTGGATCCCCGATTTCAGGTTCCATCCGAAACTGATGCAAGACGTGCGAGCGTTCTTCACGTCTCTGTCGGTTAAGTACGGAAGGGACTCGACGTTGATCGGGATCCACGTTCGCCGGACGGACCAGGTCCGATACAACCGGAGGAAGCACGGAGCCGAGCCCGTCTCGGCCGCGTATTACAGGCGAGCCATGGAGCATTTCGGCCTGCTCTTCCCCAAGCCCGTGTTCGTCCTCGCGAGCGACGACCTCAAATGGAGCAGGGAGAACGTGAGGCGATCGAGCGAAGACCTGCCGATCGTGTTCCTCGAGGGGAAGGGCAGGGACTTCGACTTCGCCGTGCTGGCCCACTGCAACCACAGCATCGTCTCCGTCGGGACTTTCGGCTTCTTCACGGCTTATTTCGCCGGCGGCCTCGCGGTCGCCCCGAAAATCGTCTCCAAGACTCCCGTCGCCATCGACACCCTGGTCCGACAGGCCGGCCTGGACAACTGGATTTTCATCAACGATTGATTTCTCGATCGACGGGCTTTCATCGCCTCTTGGCTTCATCTGTGGGTCAGATGACCCACACCCGGTGCGATGCCAACCCAAACTTGCTCCTTCGCCATAAAATTATTCTAAAATTTATATTATTATTATTTCACTCGGAAGGATTGGCAAAAAGAATTTCCTTTCTTGTGAATTTTCCTTTTGTTTTCATATTTCTTCTTCATTCTTCATGCTTGTTTGGAGAATTGTGATGAGTTATCTGTGATGTCTTGTCGAAATGCAACATTTGGACAATTGAAATATTTTGAAATAAAATACTTAATTCTTTAATTTAATCATTTTTATATATTTACTAATTGCAAATGTCTTAGCTTTTTTGTTTCATTTCGAAAAGGGAGTGCTCACGGAGTTTACGCGAAGGTTCCCTTGTCTTTTTTTAATGGAAGTATTTTTTTTTTTTCAAAAAAGTTTTTTTTTCACTCATGAATGAAAAGCGAGAATCAACTTTCTCCACCCTGGGCGCTGCCTGATCTTTCCTTTCGACAGGGCGGCCCACGCCACCTCGTTCGGAAGCCACCCGGGAGTTACTTCCTATGTTCATCCGGTTTCCACTGCGGCGTCTTGGTGCCCACCGCTGCGGTGGTCCAGAGGAAGCGAATTCTGGACTCCTCTTGGACGTTCTCCGCCCCGATCCTCGCCACGCGTCTCGTCTCATCCCGCACTTCCACGATCGCCTCCGCGGGAGGATGCTCATGTACTCGTCACTCAAACGGTTCTCGGGTGCATCATGAACCTTGTCACCGGTCTCATTAACCCACGAAATGAGACAAGCATGAAACAGCACATTTTACGACTGTGGTTCTGCATGAAAATCAAAGAGTTCCCCATGTCAATTCTTGCTGCTTCCTCCATGCACCATCGTAGTCGCCCACAAAATCGCAACCCCATCCCTCAAAAAACACAGTTTGAGTGTCACCAAGCATCTTTATTCCCTCACCGCATCCATGCCTATAAAAATCACACAGGAACGCCTCCACAGCAGTTTTTCGCACAGCAATTCTAAACAACAGAGAGATCGCATTCCAGAGAACGTGGACCTTGCCAAGAGAGGCCTTTGACGTGTGATGAGCGCGAGGGACCCGCAAAACCCTCGGGCGACATTCCCTCTAAACAAATTAGAATCGACTCTGAATTCAAATGACAAAACTGGAGAACAGAATCAACTTGTTGCAGTCCCTGCCCTTCCTAACCGAGCAGGAGAATCCATATTTGTACCTGAAGTGACTTATTCGCTCGCATGCGTGAAACGTGTCGACATGGGGACAGTCCGTGGAACGTCCGACGACAACAACAGAAATAACAGCCTGTCGAATCTCGCAATGGCGGAAATAACAGCCTGTCGAAGTCTTGCTCCACCCTCGAGATCACTCCAGGCCGTCGTCTCGAGAAGGATCAACGTTCTGGTGATCTGCCTCACTTGGTGTTGAATCACTCACAATCACTCGTAATCACAGGAAGAAATCACAATTCTGAGTGGTCATGACTGACCGAACCTGCAAGGACAAAGAAAAAGACAAAATTTAGAGCTGATTTCTCTGAAAATCAGAAGTATTGATTGTTCAGTTCAGTTTATTGTCATAATGATAGTGACACCACCAGTAAATTTTTCAGCAAACTTGTGAAGATGCAATGCACTTAAAGTTACCAAGATACATAGGCTCTGGCTTCATTTTCCTCTAAAAGAAGCATTGCCTAGACTTGCTGATTAATAATTGATCAAATCCAAGAAGTCTATTTTTACCAGCACCAAAACATTAAACACAGCCACTAAAAGCAATGACCACTCCAGGAAGGCAAAAAAAAACAAAAAAACACAAGGCTGAAAGGATAAAAGACCTGGCTGAGCCTTGGTGGAAGGGGCAGCAGGAAGTTCCCTCTCCTTCAGGTACTTCTCCATGAGGGCCTTGATCTCGCCGTCGTAATCCCTCCATTCCGGGATGATCCGCATCGCTGCCGTCAGCTTGGCTTCTTTCGTCTTTGGGTTATTGCACTGCGGGGAGATAATACCATCGGACGTGCCAGAGTTCCACCAGATATAATGAAATGTAAAATGATCATTTATTAACAAATCTCCTTCTTGGTAAATCTGGCACTCCTCATCACCGTCACCAATTTTTACGATCGTCACATTGTCGAGCAGATGCGGTCGGCTCACCAGGTCGATGGTCTTGGCGTATTGCTTCGATGCGTCGTCGCACCACGTCTCGCACCAGAGCCACTCCTGTGGCAGTGATTTGATGGCCACACTGTGCATCATGTTGTTGGGCAGATCCTGCAAGAAAAAAAGATTAATTCCATTTCTGATGGAATAACATATCCCAAAGCATTGACAGGCAATGTGATGCATAAAGGGATGATTTCTAGATTCAAATCAAGGTTGAGGAGTGTTAGGAGCACGTCAAACAAAAAATAAATCTAAGTGGATTATGCTGTGTTTCTCTGCAATATATTTCAAAGCCTATTCTACCTCATATTAAAAAAAAATACCCTTTTGAATTAAAGAAAAACAAATGGGCCATCCAGAGAGGGTGCTAAAAAACAATGTGCACAGGAAGGGATGCAGACATACCTGATCAAGATTGGAGAGAGAGTTTGGATCCCTACTGAGTCCTTGGTACTGACCCCGCAGGCGGTCTCCCGCGGCCAGGCGGCGGAACTGCCGCAGATCCACCACGTACAATGCCGAAATGTGATACTTCCTCCCCATCAGGTGACTTGCCCAATACCCACTCTTCCAGAACCTGTTGGGGTGGCCAAGCAAATGAGGGTATGACCACACTGCAGATCAAAGTCATAAATTCGCAAATAGTAGCATGCTTAACATGAGATTTGTGCTACTGACCTGAAACCATCCATGTCTGTCCTTGAGTCACAGAAGGGTGTGTACCCATAAGGTGCTCCGTTGAGAGGTAGGTCCATCAACTCTTTCATATCCGTCCTCACAACCTTCAAGAGGAGGGATTGATCAGATATGCTCAACTCCATCCTCATCTTAAGTTCTTCTCTAACCCACCTGATCGGCATCGACAAAGATGATCTTCTTGATGTCGAGCGGGAAGAGGACGTCGAGGAAGAGGATCTTGTAGCCCCAGATGATGCGCTGCTTCTCCGTCTGTTGGTGCAGCCAGCGGGGCCACTTGTACTGCACCAGCTCGTATTCGAACCCGTATTCTTTGGCCATGTAAGGCAGGAAGTCCTACCACCACGAGAGAACGAAAAAGCCGAGTCCATTACATGGATGGATATTACAGTGACTACTAAAATTTCAATGTCTCACAATCAACAACAGCAACAGACACCAGTTAAAAAGCACGAAAGCGAACCTTGAACGTGGGAGAGAGGACATTCTTGAGGAACCAGAACTTGACCGGGGACTTGGTGTGCTTGAGGACGCTGAGCATCATGATGCGGAGGAAGCGCTCGTACAGGTGCCCCGACGCGATCGAGAAGATGTTGATGGTCTCCACCTTCTCCTCCTCCCCCTCTCCCTCCTTCCCACCTCCCACCAGGCTGCCACAGCACAGCGGGGATACTTATGCTTTTGCCTAGTGTTATTTTCCTAGTAGGATGCTTCTCATGCAACTAATGCTCCTTTATCACGTCAACAGAGTGCTACGTCAGAACATCCTTAAGTCCTCGTGAAGGCTAGAGTGAAGACGCAGTATCCTCACACAGAACAATAATGATGTGCACCGAATGTGCTTCACTTCCATTGATATAACTAGATGGGTTGAAATAAATGTCATGCAGATAAATTCTCTAAGTTCTCTCTCCTTGTGAAAAAAAAAGTCAGTTTGCCTATGCAAAATTAACTACAGATTACACAATATGGACTGGAGCACTGCAACATAGGTTATGTTCATATCTGCATCACTAGAACTTCCTATCATGTTTAAATAGTCTATAAAAGTTCAAGGTTACATGAGAACTAACATAGCCAAAGCATACTCCCTTCTTTTGCCATTATGCTTTGGCAGTCAGAATCAGAAATTTTCAATAGTCCTCCTGATACATACACTATTAGGTAGGTATCCAATATAAGCACTAACATGCCTGACAAAGAAAAGTATGGTATTAGATTCCAAAAACCCTTCACCACATATGAACTTTAGGGGAGCATTTTCCTAGAACATAATCCAGTCAAAATGGACATTTCCCACTTCAACGTCAATGTTGATAAAACTCTGCCCTAGGCATATTTGGTGTGAAAGATGCTCATTGCCAGTGCCATCAGAGCATGGAGTCCATATGCAGTGATGGAACTACTTCAATACAATCAGCTCAGATAGTTCTGTTCTCCTTCCTATCCACATGCAAAATCAATAGACAACACTGGCAATGCAGTCTATCACTTCCTCTTCACCATGCAACCCCCATCGATCGGGACAAGAAAGGTGCCAGGTGCACGTGTACGACCCGGTGGCTCCGAAGGAGAAGGAGAGGGAGGCGGGTGGTGAAAGTTACCTTTCCCGGAGGAACCGGGCGATGACCTGGACCTGGTCGACCAGGTCTCCCAACAGAGGCAGGCTGGCATTCACGACAAGGGGAAACCACCCAGGTCTTAGCATAAGAGAAGCAAGTCCACACGGTAGAGTATACGGCGATGTGTGGAAACTCACTTGGACAGGGATCCCCAGAAGCCCGATTCGGCCTGGTCGTCGTCCTCCACGAGGAGCTTCTCGTTCTCCTTCCCGGGCAGCTTCGCCACCCGCAGCTTGATCACTCGACTCCTGAGCGACCCCATGAGGACGTGGACTTCCGATGCACCGGGAGGACTGTCGGTTCCCTCGTGACTGTAGCAGCATTGGAAATGAGAAAAATGGAATGTGTGATGAAATATGAAAGTCGAACTGCAATGTGATTATATTCCAATGCAATCTCACAGAAAATGGACAACAATGTGTGATAAAGCACCTCACAGAACTAATACAAAAAAGGAAATGCTTCACTGTAATGTCACTTGAAGAGTACTGTATCTATATATGACATTAATGAATATGAGAAATATTAAACAAAGAGATTCCACAATGCTAGTGACCCAAAGAAGGGCAAATGAGTACAAAACCAAATGAGAGATGTATACACACATCACATCAACCACCATCTCTCACAGATCAAGCCTGCCTTTCCTTTGTTCTTAGACCCTTCTCCACGCCCACACAAAACACAAAAAATCCATAGGGTGCACAACAACAAAGCAGTACACAGACCTGGAGATCTGGAAGAGATCACGGGAGCGTCCCTGCCGGATGCGGAGCTGCCAGGCCCCGGCGTTGGCCTTGAGCTGGAGGTAGCCCAGGTTGGCCATCACGATGGTATCCACGGTGGCAATGTCCTCACCCAGGGGGCCCAGGGTCAACTGGAGACCTCGGGGTGGGTTTCCCGATGGGCTCTCGAAGCAATGCCCTTCCAGCAATAAGTATTCCAGCTCATATTCTCTGCAAGGACCATTCCATATGAAAATGTCAGCAAAATAATGATCATTAAATGAAAGCACCAGGGGAACTAAACATGCCAAAAAAGGAGGAAGATGTCATTGGAACATGAGGCTTTCAGTTAAAAGTTACTTCCCATGAATACCTACTTTGGCTGATGACATTCTCATCTCTCTTTCCATTGCATTAATAGTCACTTAAACCCTTTTATTGCACTTTTCTTGGGGTACTTAGTTGTATGCAATGAATGTCGTTTGGAATCTCAATCGAAAGCAACCGATCGACAGATCGATGCAGGACTCACGCATAAACACCAGAGGTCACAGCCTCGAGTTGGATGTTATCAAGGTCGTAGGGGCTCTTCACCACCTCGGTCAGCCAGTTCTCTGGGCAGTCCAAGCTCATGGTGAGGATGGGCGAGTGCGGGAGGCTCGGGAAGAAACCCACCGGTGCCACGTGCCCTCCGTCCTCGGCAAACTTCGGCTCTGCCTCCAGGACCAGGCGGTAAAAGCTGCAACAGAAGTTGTAAGCTTGATGATGCACAGTTTCTTCAATTGCATTCAATCAAACATTAAAGAATATTCAATGCAATCATGACATATGGTAATGCATTCAGCATCATACCTCCTTCAATCCTTTTTTTTGTGCAAAATTTAAGAGGAATATATTCATTTTATATGTTCATACAGAGTTATGATGAATATCCATATTGCAACTTAAATTTGGTTTAAAAAAAATGGACAGGAAAATCACTTGGAAGCATTAAATGCAGCATATCCTGTTATAAAGTTTCTTTTGCCAAGGTGTGAGTATCCATATAGTATATGTAATTAATAATTTACTTTTGACACATGCCCTTAATCCCCCACCACAGGGATGACAATAACTAACCTTTTGAGAGGGATCTCGCTATGCTGAAGGACACAGTTGAAGATGATGGAGAGGCGAGCCGGGACGACATTGAGGAGGACGACGAGGAGCGGGGCCAGCTTCTGGGCCCCCCGACTCAGGGGGTCCAGCACGACCTCGATGTCGTACGATGGCTCTCCCTCGACCTCGCTCGACAGCCTCAGCACGCTGCTCGAGAAACAAAAACATGGCTTTGTCAGAAAAATGTGCAATGAGGCTTTTCAGCTTGAGCATGCAGACACTTGACACATTTGAAGCAGCAAACAAGAGGTACAAAATGAGCGACTCCTGCCTGGCAAGGACATACCTGTGTTTGTCACTGACAGGTGGGGCCTGGTGCCTGACTCGGCTGTCCGACGACGGAGCGAGGATGGCCGTGGCCCTCATCACTATTTCATCTGCATCCTCCCCTTCAAAGATGGAAAAAACAATCAACAGCCTGCCCTGAACCACTTCAAATTTGAATTTGGTATTTGGTTCCAACAGTATAGAGAAAAAAAACCAGTGGCACTACAAGCACAGACAAAATCATTAACGATTTATTTATTCAGCTAGGTTTTTAAAAAACTTTTCATTCGTCGAAAGTGCCGACCTCGAAGGAGACCCATCTGGCCGAGTCGAGATTGGAGGACCTGGACGATGGACTGGAGGAGGACCTGCTCGAGCAGGCGGAAGTCTTGGTCCCGGAACGTCTCATCGGGGTTAAGGGGACCCAGCACCCTTCCATTTGCAATCAGTCCCATCTGTTGAAATAGATTTTTGCATGTGAATCCCTCAATAACTCCCATCTTTAAATAATAGGCTGCACTGGTGAAAGGTTTCTGATGAAGCTGACACAAGATAAATGTCACATCACATATTTTAATTATAGTATTATATTCATTTAAACTCTGCCCACTCCTATCACTGGGTAATTCATGAAATGCCAAATAAATGCCCCTCTTACCAAATAATGCTAGAAATTTGTGCTACCTGGAAAAAGAGTAATAACTTTGGCATGCAAATTTGATGCAGTCATAGGCCAAGAGGTGAAATAATATTTTTTAACATTCATGCTTCTTTGTTTGAGAGGACAGCTGAAAGAGCATTAAATGCCACAAGAGAAGCATGACATGAATGACTGTAGAGAACATGGAGGCCATCTTTTTTAGATTATTTCCGTCCATCTGTCCACTGAATGGTTTTGCTAGCAAAAGGAAATTAAATTGCACAAAGATGATGGAATGCATAGGCAAAAATACAACCTAAAGAAATAGTAAGAAAAGAACTATGCTGCTGCCTCCCTTCCTCACTTCCCCAATCATTGAAAATTAGTCTTGAAAACTTTTCACTCTATTTTCCTTGCTCCTTCTGGAGACAGTACTGAAAAGTACTGTCTCCAGAAGGAGCTGAAAGTACTGCACGGACTGAACCCGGAGGACTCTGACCTGTCCCGGAAGGAATCGAAGGACATGGGATGCATAGTTGGAGTGGATCTTGAACACGTTCGAGTTGCTCTTCAGCCGTTCTTCAGCCTCCTTGTACTTCTCAGGATCCCCTGCCTGTTCACAAAGGGCAAAGAAACACGCAAATGAAACTCTGGACTTTTTTGCCTGCTTAAATTGAAGTATGTCCGTAAGCTTATACTTATGTTCTCCCAAAAATTCAATTTAGAGCATATTAGTCACGAGAAATGATGTCCCACAAAACCTGACTGTCCATTTATTCAGGTCAAGAATGTGACTGAACACTTCAACATCAAGAAAAAAAAGAGTGCATGAAACAAGTATTAAAAAAAACTTATTATTAGTGTTATCCAAGAGTAACTCTTGTATTTAGGATAACTTATTTAACTACCCACCTGGCCTAAGACACTTAGAAAGAATAATAATTTGCCCAGTAATCAGAATCAGGGATATTGACAAGGAATGCCAGCAGATCCTTATCGCTATTAAAATAGGTAAAAGACTTCAGATATCTAACATGACAATCTTAGATTTTTTTAAAAATATCTTCTCTGTAACCTGCCTTTTTTGTCAGATGTCGACCAGAATAAATTGAATTTTAATTCAAAGTAACACGTCTCACCAAGAACTTCGTTCATCCAAGTCTGAGAAAATACCCACATCATTGTGTTCCACTTCAACACACAGCATCATGATACCTCTGCAACTAACACTCCTCACAGCTTCATGCAAGATGACAGCAAAACCCACCTTGGGAAGAAGAGAGGCCGGATCCAAATCCCCGGAGAGGAGCCGCTTCACATTATCCGGGTCCGACAGTCGACGCAGCATGGTCGTGGCAACGCCGTTGTCCTGGCTCCCCAGGGCTGCCAGGATGCTCCGACTGATTCCGAGTCTGTTGTCGTGCTCCGGGTTGAAGACGAGACCCAGACGCACCTGGTCGTCTTCGTTCTGGCAAAAAGAACCATCACAGTTAAGTGTCTTTGAGGTCCTATTGTATCTACAAAATAAACTCTCTACCAACACTAGACTCTATCAAATATATCCATTTGACACTCAAATTTGCCCAAAAGAATATCTCATCTAAACTCAGATCAAGATTCTCTTTCCTTCTGTTCATGCTTGAGAAAGCTACTTAGTTTCATAGATTCCACTTGAATTCAATCAAAACTTTTGGGTTTTTATTTGACATCCTCACTCTCTCCTCATCCTCACTCTCTTTTTTCAATATTCATGCAAAACAGAAGACGAAAAAGAATTTCTACGACATCCCTCTCACCTCAGTGAACGAAATGCAGGCCCATTCAACTACGACAGCACCATGGCAGACAAGCCCAACAAAACCCCCTCAATTGAGCCAAACGGACACTGCACAGAACGAACTCACCAGGAACTCCAGGGCGTTATAGAGCAGCGCGAGTCCTTCGGGAGAGTCGAAGTCCCCGACGAGCCAATAGGACAGGGGGTGGGAATTGCTGCTCCTCAGGTATCGCATGCGGGCCATCGTGAACGCCGTCTTCTCCCTCTCGGTCAATTGGGCAAAGGCTTCGGGGTCGACTTCAAAATCGGCTGCAAGTTCTCCCATCAGGTCCAGGTACACCTGTCCCTCCGTCTCCAAGATGCGACGGTTCAATCTGGATGTGTAAGATGATACCAGGGTGTGAAAACCTTTTGGATCTCACATACAATCCCTTGACAAATGACAGTCACGGATCCCTTTTTCTTGGAAAAAGGAAGCAAACCCCTCATCAAGGAACTGCTTCAAAGTCATTACCAACCCACTCACATGCAAAACTACAGAATTCCACTTTCCTTTCTCTTCACATGACTCAAAAAAAATCAAATTCTTATTATGAATGGAACCTTAATTGTGCTATCAGACCTTCCAGTCATATGTCTGATATATGCTCCAGGAATTGTTGATATTGTGCCACTGAAAGATCCATACATATGCAATTAACCAGAATATTCCCAGATACTCATGTGGAGTCAAGAAAACGTTGCTTGAGCTCAACTAAAATGAACCACACAAAGTGAAGGATATACCTGCCCAGACTCATGACTCCAAGAGTGCATCAACCCATGCACCGATCGAGAAAAGGGCACATCCCAGACACAGTCGTCTCACCTGGGGACGACGTGAGGGAGCGACATGAGGAAGTCGAGGGGTTCCATGGGCTCCTTCAGCGACCCATCGAACACGGCCTTCTGGATGAGGACCATGTTCGTGCGGAACTCCGTCATCAGCCCCTCCTCGAACAGGTCCTGGCTCCCCAAGTATTTCTCATCCATTGGGACCCCATTGAACAGCATCTGTGCCAATACAAGTAAACAGCAGGATATCATGAATCATGATGTCTCCAAAAGCCTCCAGAATGCTAAAAATGTTTTGGCAACAAAAATGAATAACCTCTTTTGAAAAATAGTTTCAGAACAGAGAGCTGCTTTACTTCGTCTGATTTCATCAAGACCATTAAAAGACAACTGAACCCTGGCAAATGATGTATACAGCAATCACCTCAATCAATTCTATTTTACAAATGCCCCATCCTATTCAGAAGTATCACATTGCCCAGCACTTCCACTCGAGTTCCACTCAGATTGAGAGCAAAAAAAAAAAAAAAAATCACCTGTGGGAGTGTGATGAAGCCACACTTTTCACGGAATTCAGCTGCCAGCTGGCGCCCGAAGTCGTAGGAGGAATCCTCGGAGAACACTTCCTCAAGGGACACGCCCTTGAACTCCTTCTGAAACACCTCATGCACGTCCTTGGCCTCCAAGCGGTCACTGCTCTTTTTCAGGGCCTGGAGCGATGAACAACAAATGAGGGGGAAAATGTCTCTGTAACACCTGATGTGGGAAGTACAGTCAGTTGAATTCAAACTGTCAATTGAAGCATGATTTGAAGACATCGTAAATTATATATGAGAAAATGCATAGCTACATGTAATAACAACATGCTGCTTATTTCCAAACATTGCAGTTTCATCTTGGAGTAATGATCCAAAACTATTCCATCAATGAAGAAATTCCCATCCCCCCCCCCCCCAAGAAAAAAACAGAAGCTAGTGCAATAATGTAAAGACCTATTTAATGCAGATCATACATTTGTCAACTGGCTTGCAATCAGCAGAAAATCAAGAACATGCCAGCTACCTTGATGAGAAGAGAGAGCCCAATGTAGGGCTTGTTGTGCTGGACGGCATAGTTGAATGCTGTCATGGCTGCGAGCCCCCCGTGCTCCATGCCCGACGGGTCCGCCGCGGGATCGACGGCCGGGGAGAGGACCAGGCCGATGCGGATGGGGAGTCCCGTGCTCGTGAGGAAATCCATCATCTCCAGGGGGAACAGGGAATCTCGACTCCCCGGGTCGATCACGAGGACCTGGCGAGAGTCAGTCAAAAGGCATACATCAAATGCTACTGATGATTCAGGAAGATATTGAACAGATATGAACCTAAATAGCTAAAGGGCTGTGAAAACAAAATGGAGAAGGGAACTTGAATTTAAAATCTTTAAAAAATTAGTAAACACATTTATAAAAAAGAGTTTATTTAAGAATTTACTAATTTAAATATCTAAAAAGAGGTCTCAGGGAAAATGCAGAGAAACTCCTGATTCCAAGCCAATCAGACTTCATCCCCCTGCAGAATCATAAAAAATTCTGAAATCATAGGGGGAGGGTCACTGAATAAATGAAATGTCATCTTTTTTGAGAGCTTCCTGAACATAAATGGATCCAGACGTACCAGATGATACACGTTGCGTCGCACAGTGCGTGCCATGCCCATGAGTGACGGTCGCAGGAGCTCGTCCAGGCTCCGTGGCAGGTGCCGGAACTGCTTGTCGGTCTCAATGTCGTTAATGAAGGACACTGCCGAGTCCCTGATGTCGATCGCATAGGACGTCAGCTGGCTCAGGCCCGACTTCTCCTGGAAGTTTCCCTGCAACATTTCCTGCAGCTGACTCGGTTCTTTCATGCCTGCCATAGGAGACATGAAATGCAACTTAAACTCACACTTGTGAAAGTGTTCCCTGCTTTGGAGGAAAATAAAATTTTTTCCACCTATAGTAAAAGACTATATGCACAATGTGCATAAACTATAAAACAAATGATTGGTTTCCATAATTTTCTTGAGTATACAGTAATTTGAAGTCATAGCATGAAACTCAATACCATGATTTCCTTTCATGATTTAATTATGCAGGAGAAAATTGAGAACAAACATCCCAATTCAGGGGATCAATTCCCCACCAAGGACATAGCTACATCAAATCTGAACATTTTTGTCCTTGGCAACAATATGTCCTTGGCTGGAAATGCCAAGCTCTCATCCAATGGAAAAAAAAACTCTTGATGTCTACTTCAATCTACTGAGATGGTTCAAAGTTAAATCACATCTGTCTGACACAGCTGCTCATCTCTTAGCCTCTCACTGAATTTTAATGGCACAATGTTCATTCAATGACCAATTTTTTCAGTTCCTGTCATGATGAAATATAAGATTAACATGACCCCCATCCTGAACAATCAACATTAACTGGACCTGAATCACTTCCTTCCACAACTGAACATTTTCATTTACTTAATTCGCCTCATTTTCTCAGCAATTCTTCGAATGCACTTGTTCCTTCACTAATAATGAATACTAATATACATGCATTATCCTATTGAGAAAATCAATAGGACCCACCAAGCTGGAAGAGGGCATGCATGCGCTTCTCTTCGCTGCGGAGGATGTCAAGGAGCGCGAAGACCTCGAGGGCATCCACGTCGAGGAGGATCCCGTTGAGGCGGAGGCTCGCCTCCCCTGCGCCCAGGCTCAGTGACTCCTCCAGCGTCTTCTGGTTCCTCTTGATCTCGGCCTTCAGCTCTGGGTCCACTTTCGTCTTCACCAGGTGGCTGGTCTGCCAGTGAGGAAGGACACCCAGCAGTGAGCATCAAGGCCGAGATTTCGATTGGGAATAAAATGATACTCAAAGATTCAAACATCCAATTAACTGTTGCTCATCTTTCCAGGTTCCCCATACAATATTGATATCCAATATGGAAAAAGTATGAAAAAATAAGTTCCTATATGGGGAACCTGAGAAAAAGAGCTCCATTCTTTCTGCAAAGACACCACCCATGAAGGAATAGAACAGAAAAATTATGCCAGTACATATCTTTAAGGACCTGTCATCTCCTCTAAGACTGTTGCAACTTTGTGGCAGCTCCTCCATGAGATAAGCTCATATACAACAGGCTCAGCAAGTCCAAGGTATAAGCTGGCACCCAGCACATCATAAACAGAAATTAGGCACTAGATGGTGCCTCAAATGATGCTCAGCCAGTTTCACCATCTTAGCACATTTTTTTTTAGCTTTCCCTTCCTTACACCAACAATCTCCATTTTCCTACATCCGTAATGCCCAAGGCAGCACTGTGAAATGAGGCAAGAGAGCTTCTAGGAAATCTTAGATAAGAGAATTCATTCCCTAAACCAAAGAGTTCCCATGAGACCCTGTCCTTACATATATATTATGCAGGGCCAGAACCATTAATCTGTATATCTCATTAGGACTTTAAAAAAAATTAACCAGTGGAAGAACTTCTCAACCACCCTGCCCCTCCCCAAAGGTAACAAAACGGACTAATGAGCCCCCAAAATAAGCCCACCTTACCAACAATGGTAGAACCACCTTAGATTTATGGAGCGTTTCTGATGAGATACACGTAAAGTTGGAGCCTCTTGTCGAAGCAAGTGAGCAATCTGTGCTTATACTTAGCATATGTATCTGCATTCTTTTGTTTTCTTGCCTAATAAGTTATTTTCCTCTTTTTCTTTACTTGCATTGATCTATTAAATGCAGGAACAAATTGTAACCATCACCTGCCTACTTGGCATTTTTGAATCCAGACAGAAAACTCCCAAACCAATAAAGAACCCATCACTATATCATACTGAAAAAGTAAAAAAATAAAAAAAGTGAAAAGCCCTTGAAAAGTCCTAAGGGGTTCAGAAAACAAAGTTAATATGATGGGCACCACATGGACAGGGAAATTCAAGCAGGATTCAAGGCATCCCGGCCAGAGGAAAATCATAGCATCATCCTGATTACTCTTGATCCCTCCAGCCTTTCCAAGCACAAACTCGGCCAACTGCGAGCACATTCACATCGCTCCATGCGAGGAGCCAGTATTCCTAAAGGAAAAGTGCACACCTGAACAGGGAGATTCTGCGACAGATCAACGAGAGCAGCCAGGCCTTCCTCGGGGCTCGCGGCGGCCATGATGCGGGTGACGGCCTGGAGACTCAGGTCCTGCAGCTCCCACACCTTCAGCGGCGGGATCTCCAGGGCCGACTGCAGCAGGTGCTCCCGCCACTTCTCCAGCGCTTCGACCTCACCCGGGTGGAGAGCCCTGAATCACATGGGCCCAATCAGTCCCTTATCCAGGAATGCCCACATTCACACTTTTATGCACTATCTGACCTTCAAGACCTCAAGAATTTTTTATATGAACTGGAAGAAGCCTCATGGGTGAAAAAAGTGGATGTTCAATGAGGCACTTGGTGGGCTCCATGTGACCTGCAGGTCACACTTTGCACACCCCTGCTTAAAACCTTAAATTCCAATTTTGTTAAATATCATCCAAGAGGTACAGGCAACAACTGGATTCCTTCAAACTGCCAAAGTTGGGTATCTCAGACTCATCTCTTTGAAGATGTAGTGTAAGTACTTATGCCAGAGTACAAGTACTCATAAAAAAAGGCACTTTAGTTCCTTGTTTATTCATGAGCATGAAGAGGACCGCATTTCAATGAAATTTATTTACTTCACATTTATTGCTTCCCTGGAGGTGCTACAAACTAAATTGCTGCATGCAAGCTCTAACCAGCACTAAATTATTCTTCTGCATAATTCCAACAATGGCTAAAATTGAAAAATTACTGCAAATGCATAGGCAGGTTGCTGGTAGCACTTATCATACTACTAGACTTAAAAAAAGGAAAAAAAAACCAATCAGCACATGGCAAACTGGTTCTTCATGTCCCCATCTACCAAGTCAACAAAACAGAATGTCACTGTTTCTAGCTTCACTCACTTCAGCTTGGAGAAGATGTAGCCATCCACTTCGTCATCACCGAGGTCCTCCTGGTCGCCATCCGCATTGGAGTCGTCGGCAACCTTGCTGTCATCAGTCGCCTTATACTCTGTACTCTTCAGCTGCAGCTCCACCCCGTAGCCTGTCAAACGGGTCTTCCCTGGGTCTCGCTCCTGCCAAAAACCCAAGCAATGACAGATAAAAACCAGAAATGTGAACTCCATACTATGGAAGCACATGCCAATTTATCATTCAGGGTTTCAAGGACAGAAATAATTTAGCATGCAAGCTGCCACATCCTCCACAAGTGAGTCACATCATCCCACAGATCATCAAAAAAAGGCATTGGCAGCTAGCTTGCAGGATGTGTGAAATACTGTGCATGATACAACTCCCAAAATCCTGTCAGATGAAACCCACACAGGGCAAAGATGCCTGATAAAGAGCAGTGACTCATTCACTTGCATTCACCCAGGTCCTCACTCCCCACTTGCATCCACCCAATTTCTACACATGCAAAATCCTTCTAGCTAATTTTGTGGCTGAGGCATCAAGGCAAACGGCTGAGTGGAGACCAAAACCGACTGCCATGCATCTCTGAGTAAAGATTTTTTTTTTACATATTAATGGGGGACAGGTTCATTAAATCCTGTCTGGGGACATATCTATTCCTTAGTTATACCTGAAACTTCAGTATATATGACTTCATCACAACTGAATTCTTTTTGAACCATGGATATCTATGAACAACATGACAACAAGACAAATGTAAGGATTTTGGTATAACCAGTTTTCCATAAATGCTTTTGTACATTTGGTACAAGTTATCAGCTTTCTGAATAACAATTACTTACAAAGACTTGATGAATTACAGGTTAGATTCATCTAACTTCAGCATCGCACTCATGTAAGTTAAATCAAAGGATGATACAAGAATAATATTTCAGGGCATAAATGAACCAAAACACAGGAATCTTTTCCCCCAGACTTACCGGCAGGAAATGCCTGAGGACATAGTCCACCTGACCACTAGAGGCCAGGTCCTTGAGGACGGGGTGGAAGTCCCTGAAGGCCTGAGAGCCCATCTCGGCATACAGGATCACCTTCGTGGGCCTTCCCTCCCCGCCTGGGTAATGATGGTCCGTCTGCAACCAAGGAGAACATAAAATTCTAGGCACTCTACAGTAGGATGATCCAAGCTATATTCAGTTATGAAAACTGGATATAGATATCATTCAATATCAAGAAGTTCTTATGAAATCCTTGGTGCCTAAGATTCATAAATTTAAAATGCCACCAAGACTCAGTGGCAGAGATATGACCTAGTAGAAAAACCACATTCTCAACTTTGGCCTTTCCCAGGTTTCAGTTAAACCATGACTTTCAGACAGTGAAACAGAGGCCATACTCATGGCCCATGCAAATCTGGCCCTAGCCAACATGATAGCATGCTCTTAGGGTATAGCTGCACCTGCAGACCACTAAGATGGACCATGTTTGAGCTGCCAGGGCCTGCACTGCTTTCGAATCGGAGCAATTAGAGATTGCACAGAATGTGAAAGTAAGGAACTGGAAGACAATCCCATAGGGATATTTTTGACCAAAGAGCATCTCTGCTCATGGTAAAGCTGCACCTGGTGCCATCTAGCGTACACTTTAAAATTTCTCCATGAAATATACATGGTCTTACCATGCTTTTACATGGAAAAAATTGTATCCAAAAGACTGTCCAACAAAAATATTGTGAGTTTCAAAGCAAAGCTTTGCATACAATTAGGACTTCAGTGGATGAACTTGTACCAACTATCTCTATCATGATGGAACAGGGACAAATTTAAGAATAATCTTCATGCCCTCATCAAGCCATCCTCCAAAAATTCAACTTCTCTAAACTAAATAATAAACATGAGAGGCAAGTTTGAAACAGCTAAAATATTCAACACAGCGACTTGCTTCAAAGTGAAAGGAACCACCCCACCACCCAATAAACCATCGCTACAAATCTGCATGATGGAATACCATGGAGTTTCCAGCAACGAGATCAAAAGCACTAATGCCACATCATTTTAGTTATCTTAACTGGACTCATAATACAGTCGATTCCAGTTAATCGGACCACATCGGGACGCGATCATTTTGGTCCTAATAACCGGCTGGTCTGATTACACGAACATGCCCTATGCAATAGGATTTGTTTCGGTTCTTTAGGATTCGGTCCGAATAAGCGGCTGGTCCGATTAACCGGATTCGACTGTATTTCTGATCATTGCTCAACTTCTGAAACACTTTACCCAACAATATCACATTGATTTTGCCTTGTCCTCATCCTTTCAAATTCAATTATGCTTTAATATACCACAGAAACTCCCATCACCTGATAGAGGACACTGGCATTCCTCATGCCTGCGTTTTCAAGCAAGGGCTTCACATCAACCGGCCGACACGTGCGACGGCCGTGGACATCGACAAATGCGGAGCACGGGTCCTGAGTCTCCTTGGCGTCGGGCCATAGCTGGAGGCCGATCTGGTGGAACATCTCCACCCGGGGCGAGTGGTACCGCAGCGAGAGGGCGTGCTTCAGGAGCCGCGCCTTGGTCTCGCTGTTGAGGAACCGCCTCGCCAGTCCCACCACCGTCTCGAAGTACTCCTTGTCCGTTTCTGTGTGACGAGATACAGTAGCTCGATTCACAATTGCATTCTTGTTTTAATCAGTGTCCAGAGATATCATCTTCCCCAGAGTCATCCAAAAACAAAATCCAGAAAACTCAAGACAAAATATTAGCAAAAATTTACTGGCATCAGTATCAATCCCTTCATACGAATCAAGAGTTTGAATAAAATCCTCTCTTTTCCAGTACATTCCTTCAAGTCCTACCAAAACTGCTTACAGAACATTTGAGAGAAGCAAAAACCTGAATTAACAGTCTTATTTTCAGATTCATTAAATAAAAAAAGTGCCAAGTCACTGTCGAACGCTCACTGAGTTGCAGGGACTCCGGGTCGAGGTCGGCCAAGGCATCCGCAAACCGCCAGAAGAGGTCGGGCCTCTCATCGTGCAGGAACTCGGAGGCCTCGAGGAGCCAGGGGGTGCTCTGCCACCTGGCGTCCACGCTGGCCGACACCCACTTGTGCTTCTTGCACCAGACCCGGCTGTGACCCAGGAGGAGCAGCACCGTCAGCGCCTGGAGGGTCGTCCATGACCTACTGCCCATGGGCTCTATGTTCCCTGCTGAAGGAAGCCTCAACGTCTTCCTGAAATTCAAGTGCACAAGTTACTCAATAAAGCACAATCATTACATAGGGCAGTTTTTGCACACTTTCCCATTTGCCATTAATTTCAAACTATACTAGATTTCTATATAATTAGAAGTGGCCTGTAAAGTCAAGATTGGGACCTGTCCTTCAAAGGACAGCAGGCACTACTTCAAGAATTGCAGTGTTTCATCATGTGCACCCAGACAAAGCCAGTGAAATTCAGGTCAGCAATGGGTCTCAGGAAACACATCCATTTTGACACCTGCACGTACCAAATAACAGCAGAATCATGGGGGAGCCTAAGCTTATCACATTTCCACAATTCTTCAAGATTAATTCTTTTGAAGACAGAGCAAGAACACAAAGTTCAATTGTATTCAAATATTCGATGTAATTGTAAAAGTTGGATGAAACATAAGATGTCAAATTCTCCACCAAATCTAGTCTGTTTAGCATTGGCAAGAAAAACAAAGGTTAAATAAGATCTCATGACAATCAATTCATTCCCTGCAATAATATCATTATTCTACCTGTGACAAAATTTTTTATTAATAAGGGGAAAGACTCAGGCAGGCAGTCAAAGCTGCCAAAACAGTGAAAAAATTCAGTCTTCTCCACAAGTCCCACAGTCGCCACAAGAACAGATGGATGCATCGAAAAGAGTTCCGTTCACTTGTTTGCACCTGGCTGCTGCCTATTCCTCGTCCGGTTCCAGGTTGATGTTGTCACCGAATTTGGCGTAGAGCTGGGTCTTGAGGGCACTCATGGCCTCTTGCACCTCCTTGCACTGTCCCTTGAGAGCATCCACCTGCCCCCGCAGCCGCTCCTTCATCCGCTCGAGCATGCTCTGGGTCCGGTCGCCGTCCTGATAGACGAACACTTCGCCCATCAGGCAGGGGATGTCCTCGCCGGAGCTGTCGACGAGGATCAGCTCCTCCTCCGCATCGCCGATGTTCCTGTTGTGGATCGGGAACTCGTGAGGAAGGGGTTTTGAATATATATATATATATTTATATACCAAATTAGTTGCATGCTTTAGATTGTCAGGCTTTAAGGCACAGGTGGCACTCAGAAATTTCTTTCATGAACTGAATTGATGGTTTACCTCAGGTCTGTCTCCTTGCCCTTCAACTCCTCCTTCAACTCCTCCAGTCTCGCGTTATGACGGGCAAACCGGTTTATCTTCTCCTGATCCTCGTACGTGATGTGAACATCCGAGTCAGGCTTGAAGGAACCCTTTCCCACGTTCTGGGCTGACCCCGCCGACGCCATCATTCCTGCAACCAAAATGTAACACTTAATCGACCTACACCCAGCTCCCAACATCTACGCTCAAGTCAAACGCCAACAATTGAATTATAGGAACTTATAGGAACTAAACCACATTTCCCTGGGAATCTCTTCCAGAGCCAAACAACTGCAAGGCCTAAGGCCTAAGGCCTAACTTTCCGCCTAAAGTTCTCCGTAACCAATCCATAAAGTGCATTGCTCCCAAAACCGATTTAAAACCACAGGCCTAATTGCAACAATACACCAGGCTGAAACACTCAAATTAAAGACCATCACCCCGCGCCACATGTACACACCGGGAGATATTAATGGTGACTCAGCGGGACGCCATGCTCCCCGACAGCACTGACGCAGTGATGCCCGAACTTCAATTTCTTCTCCAAAACATTTTCCTTCTTTTCATGCTTAAATGATAACTTTAATTTACATAGTACCAATACCTCCTAAGATATAAGTTGTTTCAAATTAGTTGTTGGGTGAAAATTACTAGATATTTTATTTGAGCGGGTGTCGACGGAGTCTGCGAACGAGGCAGGGCTCCCATCCCTGCCAGCGAATCACTTTGGAGCACGTCCTCGCGGCTCTCCCCCTTCCCCCCCGGTTAATGATTCCCGGGAGGCGGTCGGAGACGCGTCGCGGCATCCTGCGACTCGCAAATGAGAGAAGTCGTCAGATCGGTATGGCCGGTTTCGTTCTCGATTTTTTTTTTTTCATTTAAAAATAAATGCCGAATTTGAATTGGCGAGAAAGCAATTTCATATTTCCGCCGCCTAAATAATTTCCTTCGTGCCAATTCACTGCCTTTTTGGCACAGTCGCCAAATTCGGGCAGAATTCGGAAGATTTCGAGAATCGGCTGCGCCAGCCTCAACATCGGGGGGGCGGTCGCCCCCCTTATGACCAGGTTGCCATTCTATTTTCTCCTTTTTTTTTAAAATAGCTTCTATATTAATTTTTATTGGAACCAGCAAAAAAGAAATTCAAGTTTTTACCCCAGACGAAAAATGAAAAAGGCGATAGAGCTGAGAGTAGGAAGTACGGAACCCTCCCCCTATGGAAAATTTTTGTATTC